ACTTCAAACTATATTACAAAGCAATAATAATAAAAACAGCATGGTACTGGCACAAAAACAGACATGAAGACCAGTGGAACAGAATAGAGGATCCAGATATGAAGCCACACAACTATAAGCAACTTATCTTTGACAAAGGAGCTAAAAATATACGATGGAGAAATAGCAGCCTCTTCAACAAAAACTGCTGGGAAAACTGGTTAGCAGTCTGCAAAAAACTGAAACTAGATCCATGTATATCACCCTATACCAAGATTAACTCAAAATGGATCAAGGATCTTAATATCAGACCCCAAACTCTTAAGTTGATACAAGAAAGAGTAGGAAATACTCTGGAGTTAGTAGGTATAGGTAAGAACTTTCTCAATGAAACCCCAGCAGCACAGCAACTAAGAGATAGCATAGATAAATGGGACCTCATAAAACTAAAAAGCTTCTGTTCATCAAAAGAAATGGTCTCTAAACTGAAGAGAACACCCACAGAGTGGGAGAAAATATTTGCCAACTATACATCAGACAAAGGACTGATAACCAGAATATACAGGGAACTTAAAAAACTAAATTCTCCCAAAACTAATGAACCAATAAAGAAATGGGCAGTGAACTAAACAGAACTTTCTCAAAAGAAGAAATTCAAATGGCCAGAAAACACATGAAAAAATGCTCACCATCTCTAGCAATAAAGGAAATGCAAATTAAAACCACACTAAGATTCCACCTCACCCCTGTTAGAATAGCCATCATCAGCAACACCACCAACAACAGGTGTTGGCGAGGATGCGGGGAAAAAGGAACCCTCTTACACTGTTGGTGGGAATGTAGACTAGTACAACCACTCTGGAAAAAAATTTGGAGGCTACTTAAAAAGCTGGACATCGATCTACCATTTGATCCAGCAATACCACTCTTGGGGATATACCCAAAAGACTGTTACTCCAGAGGCACCTGCACATCCATGTTTATTGCGGCACTATTCACAATAGCCAAGTTATGGAAACAGCCAAGATGCCCCAGCACTGACGAATGGATTAAGAAAATGTGGTATCTATACACAATGGAATTTTATGCAGCCATGAAGAAGAACGAAATGTTATCATTCGCTGGTAAATGGATGGAATTGGAGAACATCATTCTGAGTGAGGTTAGCCTGGCCAAAAGACCAAAAATCGTATGTTCTCCTCATATGTGGACATTAGATCAAGGGCAAACACAACAAGGGATTGGACTTATGAGCACATGATAAAAGCGAGAGCACACAAGGGAGGGGTGAGGATAGGTAAGACACCTAAAAAACTAGCTAGCATTTGTTGCCCTTAATGCAGAGAAACTAAAGCAGATACCTTAAAGCAACTGAGGCCAATAGGAAAAGGGGACCAGGAACTAGAGAAAAGGTTAGATCAAAAAGAATTAACCTAGAAGGTAACACCCACGCACAGGAAATCAATGTGAGTCAATGCCCTGTATAGCTATCCTTATCTCAACCAGCAAAACCCCTTGTTCCTTCCTATTATTGCTTATACTCTCTCTACAACAAAATTAGAGATAAGGGCAAAATAGTTTCTGCTGGGTATTGAGGGAGGGAGCGGGAGGGGGTGGAGTGGGTGGTAAGGGAGGGGGTGGGGGCAGGGGGGAGAAATAAACCAAGCCTTGTATGCACATATGAATAATAAAAGAAAAATGAAAAAAAAAAAAGACACTATACAGTGAACCCATTTTGTGAGAAAAAGAATTTGTTAAATTATATTACTTTAAATTTTGTTGTAATTTTTATATAACCACTCCGTTGAGTTATGTAGATTGCTTTGGTTGGAATTTGTATAAACCCAACCCAAACCACTTAAGGAAACAAGGCAGTTCATTGCCTCACACAACTGACTCTAGCTCGAGGCAAGGATGGATCCAGGTGTTCAGAAATGTCATTAGGAAGTTTATCACTGGGATAAGCTTTCCTTAGTGTAGTCTTGGGTTGCAGGCTGATGCACTTCCTGTCATGGTTCCTGAATGACAAGTTCCAAAGCAAGAAAGGCTTTTTCCCAGTAGGCCCAACTACTCCCTGAATTTAATCTCTGCCTGGCTTGGGTTATTGCTGGGCCACAGCATGCTATAATTAGTCAGGTCTGTCAAGTGCCACACCTGAGTACACAGGAGGAGCATGTCTATGAAAACCCCAGGACTTGGCAAAAGGACCTGATTCCCACAGGAAAATCAACATGTTGCTATCGGAACAGGAATAGATGAGAGAGCAAGATGACTATTCGTAATACTACCATTTCACAGCTCAGTGGACAGCTAAGGCCTAGACTCAAATCCCACTTCTGTAGCTACAACCCTTGAACAATAGTCTTAACCTAACTTGCCTCAGTTTCTTCACCTGTAAAGGGGGTAACTATACCTGTTCATGAAGATCAAATGAACTGCTAACACACGTGAATTTCTATCACTTGCCGCCACATCTTAGGCATCCAATATATGTTAACTATTTTTTCTGTTATAATCAGCATTGCTTAAAAAGAAAACATTTTGTTACAAAATACTTTCACTTTCTCGGTATTTTTATAGAATCATTTCCGAGAATGGAATTTCCTGGTAAGAGGATCACGCATGGTCAACCACTTGTTCTTCCAGATTGCTCTCAGCAGTACTGAGCTAATTAATACTTTTCAAGGCAGAGTGCCCTGTGCTGTTGTAATCTAAGTGGAGTTACACTTTCTTCTGCAAGCACACCATCAGTGAGAGGGCTGCCTGGGACAGGATGGGTTTCCCCCAAATTCCCATCCCACTCACTACTGAACTGCTTACAAGTCATCTCTTGCCTTATCCCTATTCTTTTGCCATTTTCTGGGTCGTGTCCTGTCTTCAGACTTGTGCCAGCTTCCTCACCCCTGGAGCTGCCAGAATTTCTAAACTCCAGCCTCTTTCCTACATTGAGCAGTATTTCCTTCCCCTTTGTTACCAACCTCCACCCAAAGAGGCTTAGGTCTGAGCTCTGCAGAGCCAGAGGTCTTTGTGAATCCAGAGCCCCTGTGCTCCTGAGAGAAATGGTACAGCCTTGGCTGTAGCCATTTCCGTTTCTGCCCGTGATGCTGGATTTTAGAGCTCTCTAGCAGTAAGATCTAAAAACACCCAGGGATGAGTGTAGGAGGGTGCCAGGCATCTGAATAAGATCAAAGCAAGCCCCAGCTCTCCAACTGTTCTCAGTTTTGCTGGGGAGGCAGAATTAACATCCTGGGCACGTGATATCAAGCTGATATAAGATGTCTCAGGGCAATAGGACTTCGGGAAGCTAGGCAGGTGGTCAGAAAGCCTGACTTTGAAATTCCTGTCACTTTGGAGTTAGCAAGGGAGGATGGAGGACTACCTCTTGGCTTCTGGGGTCCTCCAACCCTCAGGAACCCTAGGATGAGACTCTAAAGGGCAATGCTGCTTGTCAAGCTCCCTGAGGCTACAGCTTGCTGAGGAAGAGACATGAGTGGGTGGGGGAAGTTATGCTGCCAAATGCATGTTGAGACATCAGGGAGACATTTGCCCAGGGCATTTCTCCTGGGGCTGCCTGCTCTTGCCTGGCCTTCCAAACTGCTGGTCCTATCGAGAACTGGGGCCAGTTCCTGTAAACACAGGAGCAGAACAGAAACCAAGGAGTGAGCAATAAACACTGAAAAGGCCCAATTGGTTAGAAGTCTGTGATTTCTTCCATCTGGTGCTCAGAGAAACACATGTCCATAAGCAGGGATGTTAGTGTCTTCCTGAGAGCCACAGTCTGACTGCAATCCAGGGCTGGGTGCACAAGCACAATGCAGCCCTTGCACATCCATCCATCTGAGATGGATGCCAGGTAAAGTTTGGGCCAATCAAAAGGCTCCTTCTCTTTGACATACACCTAGATGGTTAACCTCTGCATCCTACAAGAATGATGGGGCAGCTGGTCATTTTGTTCAAACCGTTGATGGAAGGTGGTTAGTCCAACCATGGGTTGAGAATGGCTAAGGACCAGGTAGAAGAGACTGCAGGGCTAAAAGACTGGAGGTTCCTTTAGTGCGCCTGGGGCCAGCAGAGGCATTCATAAACAGCAGGGCTTTCTAAAATAAGGCATTCTTTGGAGCACCCCAGCATATGTGAGACAGATGCTCAAGAAGCCACAACGAAAATGGAACCTGAATAACTTGTACCTGAAAAGATTCATGAGAAAAACAGAATATGGGGATCGTTGAAGAAAATGCTTCAGATGCTAAAGAAGGTGGCCCCCAAAAAGAGGTCTAAGAAGTGAGTTCCAAATAAGGCCTCAAAAAAAGTCTGAAGATATCTCGGGAGGAGAGTATGCAGACTGCTTTGAGCAGCTTGAAGATGGCTCCATAAAGCAATTAGAAAAAAGTAGTCCTGAAAATGAGAGAGAAGAAAATGGTTCTGAAAAAATCAGAATCTGAAGATAAGTGCTCTGAGAAAGGGTTCGATGAGGGGTTTGGAAGAGCGTGTGAAGACTCAGAAGAAAACTGTATTTGAAAAAGTGTTTGATGTCAGTCACAGCAAAAAGATGAGGAAAATACAGTTGGAAAAGCTCTGAAGATGCTGCTGAGGAGGAGTGAAGGATGCGGGTGAAAAGAAAGATGAAGAATCGACAGATGGAAAGTGGTATAAAGATGACAACTTCAACAGGAAGTCGTGTGAAGAGTTTAATGAGTGGGTTTGTGTGTGGTGTTCAGAACGCTAAGAAGGGCCCCTAAATGGCTGAGTGATGTGGCTCATGCCTGTAATCCTAGCACTCCAGAGGCTAAAGTAGGAGGATTTCAAGTTTGAGGCCAGCCCAGACTCCATGGTGAGACCATCTCAAAAACAAATCCGACAACAAGGAAAGAAGGAAAGAAGGGAGAGAGGGAGGGAGGGAGGGAAGGAAAAAGGAAAAAGAGGGAGGGAAGGAGGGAAAAGAAAAGAAAAGCCCCTAGGCATAGAAAGCAGTTCTCAATAGTGATGCCAATGGTGGTGGTGGGGTGGACGATGATATTTGATCTCTTAAGTGTGCATTCAGGAAGATTCTTCTATCTACATGTGGCTATGCACATCCATAGTTACTCACAGTGTTACATAATCCTGTGTGCAGTGATAGAATGTCATCAAACTAAAGCTTTGAAATTTTTATTGTAAATAGCATTTAACAGTCTTGAAAATATATTGTCAGTCATTCAATTGAAACTTCATATGCAGGATGCAGTAGCATATTTCTATAATCCCAGCTACTCAGGAGGCACAGGCAGAGGATCATGGCCAAGGCTGGTCCCAGATAAAAAGCATCAGATCTTACCTGAAAAGTACCCTAAACCAAAAAGGGGTGGAGGCGTGGCTCAATTGGTAGAGCACTTACCTAGTAAGAGCAAGGTCCTGAGTTCAAACTCCAGTACTGCCAAAACCCAAAAACGTTTAGACCTCATAATAATCATGCAAGATAAAATAAAAAGAATATAGAATAGATCCAAACATAGCACTAAAACATTAGCTAGGAATGGATTAAATTCCTTTGGAGAAAAACAAACACTGAAGTTGAGTCATGAAAAAAAACTAAACAAAAACTGAATCCAGCTCCATGCCCAGAGAACTGAGATTTAAAGCTACTATAGGGTTGAACACAGGGAGATAGAAAGATACAAGAGGACATTAAAGAACTGAAAACTCAGGTGAACCAATGATCAGGCAGAACTAATTCAATATAATAAACTGAGTATTGAAAAATTTGGTCTGGCTGTATAAAACTCTGAAGACACTCATTAGTGGCCATCTTTAACTATGTATACCCACTTCGCTCTTCTGGACACAGCCCCATCTTCTTCTTGCATGTGTCACGGTGCTGCTCATACAATGCGCAAAGTGTTATTCCCCAAAGTACCAGGAAGAAGTGCAGTGGATGGGTTCTTCTTTCCAGATGCCCTTCAGTCGCTGGGCCCACGAGTCTATCATCACTTTTCTTTCTTCTTCTGATGAAAACTCAGGAGCAAAACTGATCTGAGGGGCAAGGATTTTAAATCCACAGAAGTGTAATGCACCATGCTAAAGCCGAGAGAGAGAGAGAGAGAGAGAGAGAGAGAGAGAGAGAGAGAGAGATCAGAAACACAGCCTTTACATACCATTTAGTTAAATGATTAAAAGGGGAAACCTTTAAAAAAAACATACAATAACTTCAAGCTATGAGGCAACTGAAAACTGACTTCCCTGCGACTGCAGGATGCAGCACTGTGTTAGTGAGGGAAAAAGCCTAGGGCAGCTGGAATTTACTGAGTGAGATTTAGCTATAATCTTTGCTACTGATTCTAACACTAAACATTAAAGTTTTGATTGATTAGACAAATTAGGGAACAGTCATACTGTGGGTTATTCTAGAATGGGGTTATTTTAGTTATAATGTGCCACTGTGGAAGATGAAGGTACTTATTAAATGAAAACAACAAATTTTAAGCGGTATTTGTGGTATGCAATTTATATAAAAGAATAATAAACCTAATAGAAATGATATATGTAAGGTTATATATTGCTGTAACTAAATTATTAGAAGTGATTATTTCTAGGGGGTAGATTAAGGAAACTAAATTTTTATTTTCATTTTCCCTGTTGTCTCCTTTTTCCTTCTAATATATATTTTTGCAAACTGAAAAAAAGGTAAAGATTTTTAAAAAGCAAAATTTAAACTTGGCTAATGACATTAAGATACCAGTTGGCCTGTGGAGAAGGAAGCTCACAGTTTGAAAGTTATTTCCTTCAGTAGAGCATCAGTAATTTGAATCACTTTTCAAAAAGGACCATTTCCCCCTAGAAGTATCACATGTGAACTTCCACATTACTTTCTTTAAAACCACACCTCTGTCTATACCTGCCCCATCAGGTGAGGTAGAGTGTAAGAAGCCTGCATGCTATTTTTTACATTATTTTTCTTAGACAACATGTTTGTCTTACTGGAAATCAGTTTAACAAAAATAATTATGATCAGGAGGAGAAATCAGTAAATTGGTGTAAGTGGAAAAAATAATATTCAGAAAACTTAGAAATCAAAGAGAATTTTTAGAAGATAAAATTTTAAATGATTGCAAACAATAAAGGCAAGGAGTGAACTTAAAAATAAATGTGTACTATCTATATAGAGAAAAAAATCTTATTATTTTGAAAAGAGACAATAGGGTTAATTTCACTTACATACAGAGGGCTGACAAATCAATAATAATAAAAATAACTCACATCCCCACTTAAATGTGGGCAAAGCATATGAACTTAAGGAGTTCAGAGAAAAGGGGAGCAGTTCCTAACTTTTTTTCATGGTGCTTGGATGGAAACCAGGGCCTTGCACAAACTAAGCATGTTCCCTACCACTGAGCCATACCCCAGCCCCACAATGCCTGCACTCTTAAAAGCAAGTTATAAACTGTTAAATATTTGGTCTCCTTCAACCTCACCAGACATCTTTCATAATCACCTGCAAGAGCAGTTCCCTTTAGGTTTCTTGGTCTCTGGAGTCCCTGCTGCCTTTAGCCTGCTCTCCACATCCCCACCTCCAACTCTGCCCTTGCTCATGGACACCACAGGTTGCCTGAATTGGCTCTGCCTGCTGCCTTCTCCCTGGCAGACAGCCACGCTTACCATTTGGTTCGGGTGCTCACACAGGCAAGTCCACTTGGAAGAGCAGGTATGGAAGGGCCTGGGGGAGAGGGTGGGGAAGCTCAGGGTCCTGGGCATAAGGAAGAGGGGACATGGCCAGCAGAGGCCAGTGCGGGGACATGGCCAGCAGAGGCCAGTGCGAGGCCATTCAGAATGCAGGGCTGAGGGTGGTGTGGGCTTCAGGGAGCACTGCGTGCCTGTGCACACAGCTCTACACCTGCACCACTGGGCTTCCCTCACTCATCACTTGCACCCATCTGGGGCTGCCTCAGGGTCATCAGACCCCACAAAACAGGCAGCAGGCTTACCAGGTTTGGCTTAGATCCAGGCCAAACACTACCAAAAGCTGTAATTATAACATGTGTTTTCCCTTTGGCCAGCCTTTGCAGTGCTGCCAAGTGAAAAACAGTGTGGAGTGTCAGGCTTACATCACATCTCATTTTACACCTAGTGAACTTGGGGTGTGTGTGTAACAGCTCATGGCCTGTTTACCTGGAGTGGCCATAGGAAGTACCGAAAATCTCCACTGACTCCGGCTTTTGTGTACATCTCAGCTGTGCCTCCTGTGGTTAAAGACAGGAGAGCTCGTTTATCCTGCAGGGGAGAAAGCAAATGTGTTGGTGTGGATGCCAAAGAATGGCTGAGATCTATAATGGTCAGGAGAAATCTGAAGTCAGTTCCCTACAGGGTGGGCAAGTGTCCTGACCCATCCACAGGTGTAGCTACATCCCAACAGTAACAGGGATGGAACAATCAGTAAATGGACAAGTGAACATCAAAGCTTTAAGGTTCCTGAGGACCTGTGTACACAGCCAAGTTGCTGACCATAGGGCTGAGGAGGAAGCAGGCAGGGACCAGGACATGGAGGCCATTCATTAAATGGCAGTGTCACTCCTGGTCCAAGACAGACCTTGGTTACTCAGTCTATTTTCCTCATATGCACTTACTTTCTGAAGCTTTTAGAATTTAAAAAGTCATTTTTTTTGGTTGGAAGTTCTTTACTAAGATCATAGCTACTATGCATAGGCATTTACCAGGTTACATGTAATCCTTCCTCTGCAACATAGGTGTCACACTGTCTTGTTGATTCATCAGGTGGGCACTCAGATCTAAGAGGGGGCAAACTCACATGAGACCAGGGCTGGACTCTCCAACACACACTGCACACACTAGATACCCACTCTAGGGCTAGGACTGACTACATGCTGCAGGTCAAGTTGCCCACATCAACACTCCCCAACACCCAATCCCATCCCTCTTGGGGTGTGTGTGTGTGTGTGTGTGTGTGTGTCCTTAGTGTGAAGTATTGGTAGACTAGACAAAGAGCTCTGTGAGTTCAGAAAGAATGCTTTTCCCATTTATGTAGAGTGTACATCCCAGAGTGCTGTGCACACAGTAGTAAGTGCTCAATCAATATTTGCTCAAAAAAAGAAGCAAACTAGAAATACAACTTGATATATGCACCTTCCCCTCTTTCTGCCATTCAGACAATGTAGTGGTCCTCATTCCCAGAGCACATACCTTAAGAAAACCGGAATCATAGAATCCTGGCACGTCGAAGGCAAACCCTTGGCACAGCACCCTGTCCATCCAGCCCTTTAAGATAGCCGGCATGCTGAAGCAGTATAGTGGGAACTGTGGACAGCATAACAAGCACAAACAAATGCTGTGGCTTGACTCAGGATTGTGTGTTTTAATCTCTTTGGTGATTCAGAACGAATCCCACCATCCTCCTCCCCTCAGGTGGCCAGGCAGGTGAGAGGAACGCACAAGGTTAGCTCTGAGGTGCACAGTGTGGGCACAGGGCAGGGGTGGGGGTGGCCCTTGGGCAGGCAGGACAGAGGTGAGAAGTAGACCGTGACTTTGGGGCAGCAGTCACTACAACTGAGCCAGTCAAAGAAGATGAGAGGAAGGGTATGGAAGAGAAGTGACCCTTTCCATGCCTGGGGTGAGTTGTAGGCATCTGGGAGTCAATCAGGACCAATCAGATCTCTTCTTGGAAATTCTGATCTAGGAAATACAGTTTGTGGTGACCAGCAAAAGAGAGAACAGAGCCAATGTACAGGGAGGCAATGTAGGTAGGAATGTGGGGAGACAGGTGTCCCAGCTCTGGGTCCTGGATCCCTGAAACATAACAGCTCTGTTCTTGTTCAAGAGACTCAAGGAACCAGAGCCTGTATATTAAAACCTCCTTTCTTCCTGGTTCCAAGACCTCTTGTTACCTTGACTTAACTTTTGTCAAGTTACCTTGACAAAATCTGATGCTCAACTGGCCAGCCTGTTTGGGGTGGGGACTGAGGGAGAATGAAAGCAACAAGACCTGCATAATCCACATGTTCCTTGGACCCCTGGGCTAACAGGAAAATCCTTCTCTCTTATTTACTTAAGAGTCAGGGTTCTGAGTAATCGCTACAATGATCCCTTTACCCAATTAGGTAAGAGTTCTAATTAGTGTTGAAAGTAAGTGTGCAAATGTACTAAGTAAAACAAAACAAAAACACTGATCACTTCTAGGAGTGCAAAGCAGTATTTGGACTTTGTACATAGGATGCCTCAGAATCATTAATTAGAGGAAAAACAAACCTGAAATATCACTAGGTCAGCTTCTTGCACTTTTTTCTGCTCCTCAATAATGTCGCTGGCCAGAGACCTCTTCTTGCAGGCTTCATAGGCTTCCACCCCATAATTGAAGACCTCAGGGTTTGAGAGGGGACCTGGGGAGGAGAAGGTCAAACATTCTCACATCCACAGCCCATCTAGCTCTCCCACTAGTACTAGGTGTGCCTGAACTCCTCAAAGCAAGTCAAAGACATTTGCTATGACCTGACCAGGACCCTGAGGCCAGGCTAGAGAGAACAATCCTGGAAGGACCACTGATGAAGTGCTTACCACCTACCAGGTGCTGTGTTCTATACATCATCTTTCCTACATTCATAATGACCTCTGGTATCACTGTAATTCCTGATCTACCAGAGAGGAAACTGAGACTTATGAGAGCCCTGGAGACTTGCTCAGTGCCACGTGAGTCCTAAGTGAAAGAAATGGGCCCAGACGTGGGATGATCTGAGGCCCAGGTGTGATCCACTGCACAGTGACCAGTCTAGTGTGCAAACCCAAGGCCTCTTTAAGAAGAGCCTCAATGGGAAGTAGGCCAGCAGTCTTTCAATAAAGGTATACTTTTTTAAAAATTAAGAGTTTCTTTGCTTTCTCTCTTACTCTATATGTATCTGACTTTCATTCAAAGGGTACTACTGCAGACAGAGGCTGTGTCCCATCTTGTAGGTAATCGAATGGGGTTTGGGCCACCACATTACATACAGCCCAAAGCCTACTCGAGTTGTCCAGTAACAATGGAGACCTGGTTTCGAGACTTCCTTTGGATACTGAAATCTGCGGATGGATGCGCAAGTCCCTGAAATAAAATGGTGCAGTATTTGCATGTAATCTACACAGTCCTCCTGTGTACTTCAGATCATCTCTAGATTACTTATAATGTAGGATACAATGTACATTCTGTGTCAGTAATTACACCACGTCAGTTAAGGAATAACGACAAAGAAATAACCCTGTAAGTGTTAAGTATAGATGTACTTTTGTTTTCCAAATATTTTTTAATCTGCGAATGCAGAACCTGCAAATATGGAGAGCTTACCACATATCTGTTGAATTTCAAAACTGCACATGGTCACATACTTGTGTTTATATCTAGGATAAGATCTGCAGTGATCCACAACAGAAAGTGAAGCACGATTACTACAGAGCCACACGTACAACTGGAATATATGTGAAAAGGGACTTGGATCCTATGTTACCTATATTTTAAAATATTTTTGACGTTAAATTTGTGTTAGTTTATTCACTTAAAAACTTGTGGCTCCTTACCTCAGTGTTCTGCTTTTCTAGTCTCTGCACTGTTGTTCATTATGGGAAAATCATAAATAGGCCTTACACATGCTGGGCAAGTGCTCTGCCTCTGACTACATCTCCAGCCCCAATTGACTTATTTAAAAAGAAGAAAGACAAAAGAAAAGGATGACTACTAAAGATTGAATCTAGAAATCTAGTTAGTACAACTACAAACAGAAGAAACTAGAGGTATTAAGTACTGAAAAAAAAAGTGAACTTATTTGCAGACAGTTTGTTTGCATGTCTGGAAAGCTCCAGAGACTCAGTCAAAAAGCATCACAGTCAGAAAACTAGTGGACACACACACACACCCAACCTCCCCCAACAGTAACCCTCTTCACACAGAAAAGCAACAACCAGTTAATACGGATTAAACAAGATATGAAGGACAAAACTGTCTACATGAACCTGGGGACTGTAAAAGAAGACACAAGCAGATGAAAGGTCACACCATTCTCTTGGAGAGAAAGAATTAGCATAATAAAAAGTAAATTATTACTAAATTCACCTATAAATTTATTGGGACCTCAACAAAAATAGCACCAGATTTTGTTTTTAATTTAGAAGGCTGATTCAAAAGATTTTACAGAAAAGTAAAGTAAAAATTGTTAGAAAAATTAAAAATAAGGAAAATGACAGTGATCTAGCTCTATATTAAATTATATTTTTGCCAAACTAATTAAAACCGTGTGGTACTAAGTCATGGATAAAGGGAAAAACAGACTAGAAAGAGTAGCACAGAAGGAAACAAGTGAAGATGTAGGTCACAATGAAGGTGGCACTGGGTGAGGATCACACCAGTGATGGTGAGGACAGATGGCGGATCACATGATCAATGATGCTGAGACAAATGGACCCACAGCTCAATCACGTACCAAAATGAATTTCAAATAGATGAAATATTTAAGTTCTAAAAGTAGAGCCCATCAAATATTAGAAGAAACTATAGAACTTCCAAGAGTTCATATAAATACAACATAAAATCTAAAAGTCAAAGAAAAAAAACCAGCTGATCAAAAATCAACTAAGTAGCTGCTAGACAGGCCTCACAAGTGCAAAGCCCTGAGTTCAAACCCCAGCACCACCAAACAAACAAAATGTCAACTAAGTGAAAGTAAGTAAAATCCTGCATAGAAGAAAAGTCACCATAAGCAAAGTCTAAATAAATAAATAAATAAATAATAGGTAACAGGTATTTGTAGTTTATATTGTAATACTGGATGCTAATTTTTATTATATAAAGTGCTGTTTAAAATCAGCATGAAAAAGATCTATAATCTAATGGAAAAATGAACTAGAGATAAGAACATGTAATTCACAGGAAAGAGAATACTTAATATTGTATTAAATTAGATTATAAGTCTACTGACATAATCAGTAGCTTATAAAATATTAAACCTCACCTATAAGAAAGACAAATTAGAACTACATTGAGAGACCATTTTTTTTCACTTGCTAGACTGGCAATTATCAAAAAGTTGGTAACACTGTTAGAGTGAGGGAATGAGTACTTGCAAACATGGCTGGTGGGAGTGCAAACTGGTATAGGATTTATGGAAAGCAACCAGCCACTCCGTTTTTGGATAAACTTGCCCATGGGAAATGCAAATGACCATGATTAGTCATGGCAGCATTGCTCGTAATGGCAAAAGATCAAAACAACTTCAAACCCCCTTCAGTGGGTGCTACATAAACCAGGACACCACCATACAATGGAATGCTCTTTATAACAGGAAAAATGAAAGCAATGTTCAAACAATCAATATAATACTTTTTTTTTTAGAGGGAAAATGGAGAATATCTTTGCTATGGTTTGAATATGAGGTGTCCTCCAGAGGCTTAATGTTGAAGGCATGGTCCCCAGCTGGTGACATTATTTGGGGAGGTTCTGGAAACTGTAGGAGGTAGAGCCTAGCTGGAGGAAGTGGGTTCTTGGGGGCTGCATCTTGTCCCATTCCCACCCCTCTTCTCTCTCTTTCTCTCCATTTCCTGGCTTCCATGATATGATCTACCCTGATTTACCACATTCCCCTCTCCACCATGATAAAACGAAAGTCACTGAAATCGTGAACCTAAATAAATCCTTCCTTCCTTAAATTGTTTATCATGAGTACTTCATCACAATGACAGGAAAGTCTGACTAACACAGCCCACAAATGCTTACAGAGCAGATGTCTCTGGAAGGATAAAAAGAAAACTGAAACCTGGCTACCTCGGGAGCAGAGCAGCGGGTGACGGTGTTGACGGGGGAGGAATGAGAAAGAGACTGACACTGTGGACATCTGAGACTTGTATATTATAGACAACAATTAGCTTTTGAAACATTTTTAAATTATAAAACACAAAGAAGAAAGTTTAAAAGAGTACAAAGTTTATGCCATAACTCACCGATGATATCTTTCCTTGTGGCCCTCGGTTCAAAGTTCATGGCATATAAATCAGACACGGTAACTGTGCAGCCCTGATTGCTCAGTTCATCCACAGCCACTTTCTTCAGGGATCCATTGAAGGATCTGGGTTCTTGGTGTGCATAGATGATGAGAACTTTCTTACCTACATCAGGGGAAGAAACAGTTCCTAATAAAGAGCCAGATGAAGAGTTTTTGTTAAAACTCATTGAAGGGCCAGATGTGGTGGGTATGCCTACAATCCCAATTATTCAGGAGGCAGAGATGAGAGGATTGCAGTCTGCCAGCCAGGGCAAACATTTAGTGACACCCTATCTCAAAAATAAACTGAGTGTGATGGCTCATACCCCTAATCCCAGCTACTCAGTAGAGGAAGAAGGATCATGGTCCAACACTGGTGGTGGGCAAAAATGCAAGACCCTACCTGAAAAATAAAGAAAAGAAGAAACGGAAGTATGGCTCAAGTGATAGAGTGTGAGCAAGTGTGAGGCCCTGAGTTCAAACTCCAGTATCACCAAAAAGAAAAAAAAAGTGAAGATTAAGTTAAAAATTAAGTGTTTAGGTGCATCTTTACAGTTGAAGCTAAGGAAACAGCAAGCTTTTTAAGGGGTGATGGTTTAAAATAATAGCTATTTTATGCAGAGACATCATTACTTGGGTTTACTAATATAGGTTGAGTATTCCCTTATCTGAAATACTTGGGATTTTAGTTTCTTTCTAGGTTTTGGAATAGCTGCATAGACTTTACAGGTGGAATGCCTCCAATCTGAAAATCCAAAATCAGAAATGCTCCAGAATCCAAAACTTGTTGATTGTAGGTACTTTGGAATTGTGCTGAAATACTTTTTGCATGTTTGGATCAGGATTGCTCAACCTGTACACATAAATACAATGGGCCAAATTATGTCTCCTTGGGGGAAAAACTCAAAACAACACTCTTTAAAAGCCTGTTCTAATTTGGATAGCCTCTGTGAGAAGTTTTAGTCTTGCTCCCTAACATCAGAATGTTTTGTGCCAACTCTCCATTGGCAGGCACCAGTTATGGTACCTTGTAGTCTGGCACATTCTGTTTCCATTTCCCCTAGATCCATGAAAACCTGACCCTTAACAAAACATGAAGAATCAGACCCCTGGTCCCCGGTGAGTGACAGGGCTACATGGAGCCAGCCCATCTTTTGGTGATGCTGAGACAAAAAGGATTGAGAGCAAGTCTCAGAGGCACAGGGTGTGTCATGAATACTAGTGGCCTCTGAAGCAGTCTCTGCTTTGTTTATAAATCTGTGGGATTATGGACTGGAGTCTTCTGTAAGGCAGCTTGCTGATTTGTCTTGGAAATATCTAAGACTAAAACGTTAAACTCTTGATTTAAATCTTTCTGTGTAGGACCTTAAGGAGAAAGCTTGAAGCAATTTCAGGGCATTCAGTTGAGTATAAAGGGTGAATGCTAGAAGTCACATTAATTATTAATTTTTATTTTACTTTCTCAGACTCTAGTGTTATATAAAGGAACTGTACTTGGAGGCTTTCTGGAAGAAGGGTACAAATTAAATACCTTCACCAATGTTTCTCAGCTACGGGCAGTGTTACCAGCCAGAGACCATTTGTCAATGGTGGGGATGTTTCTAGTTGTCACAACTGGTGGTGGGGATTGGGGGTGGGGCTACTGGCATCTAGTGGTTAGAGTCTAGGGGCACTGCTAAGCGTTCTACAAGATACAGGGCAGCACTCCATAACAAAATCCAAATCTACACACTAATGTATAGAATAAGGTGAATCTATGTGTTCTAAAATGAAAGATTTTCCATGTTATATTATTAAGTAAAAAAAAGTTGCAAAATTGTGTGTGTGCTTATGTGCACATGGTAAGCAGACCTAACAGCAAAGATGGACGGGGGTATGGATGAGCACACACTTAGCATGCATGAGGTCTGGGTTCCATCCCCAGTACCACAAAAGAAAAAAAAAGTAAAAAGTAAAGATGGAACTACTCAGTCAATGCCTTTTTTTTTTGGCAGTACTGAGGTTAGAACTCAAGTCTTCACACTTGCTAGGCAAGCATTCTATCATTTGAGTCATTGCCTCCAGCCCTTTTGTTTTATTTTCTTTTTGAGATAGGGTCTTGCTAACTTTGCCTGGGCAGGCCTCCAACTTGTGATCCTCCTGCCTCTACCTCCTGAGTCACTGGAATCACAAGGGATGGCCACCATACCTGGCTCAATGGCTATTTTTTGAGGACCTACTATGTCCCAAGGCTGATTCAGGAACAGACAGTAGGGTAAAGATGGGCTGGCTTGGGCCACACGTCTGAGAAACTTACATACTAGAAGATGTTGAAATGGAAAACAACAGAAGTAAAAAATTACAAGAGAATTCCAGATAGTGATCCATATTATAAACCAAATGGATTTCATACACCTCCATGTTTGAATTTTTAAATAACAAATGATATATTCAATCTCTGACTAAAAGGTTGGTCCCCCCCATAACAAATCATTACCTGCCATGTTGAGGATGGATTCTTTCTGCTTCAGTGTGGTGGCCAGGCTTTCACGTGCAGTCACTCTCCTCAGCGAACACAACGATCTGAAGGAGAAACTCAGGGAGATAAGGAAGGCAGAGGTAAAGTCCATGTACTGAGTGTGGGCCTCACTGTGGCTGTTCCACAAAGGACAAAAAAGCTTCTATGAAAGCAGACACAGAGTGGAACACCTAGGAAATGAGTTGTAGACAGGGAACAGGAGTTGTACTTCCTCAGTCTTCTTGCAGCCCTAAGATTTCCCCTTTGGCTAATAAATAAGGCTTAAGATAATGAAGGCCAGGGTGCTACCAGGCCACCAAACCACCACTGGGTACCTGAACTCCCTTGTTGGTGCTGGGGAAGCCAAGGGAGTGATACTGGTGTCATTGGACCTTTTTCCTCACTTGCAAATAAGGAGAGTTGGTTTAGACCTGGTTTCTGACCAGAGAGCCCAAAAGTTCCTCTAGGGAGGCAGCCTAGGGCAGTGGAGACTCCTACTGGTCTTGGTCCAGATTCCAGCTCCACTGTGTGTCACTGTGGGACCTGCAGCAAGTCCCTTCACCTCTCATTTACAAAGTCACAGGTGGCCCAGAATAATAAGAAAGATGGTGTATACATATGGTAGCTGGTACATATGTGCTTGAGGTGAAGCTCAATGGCAGAGTGTGGGCACAGAACATTCAGGACGGCACTGGGTTCAATCCCCAGAACTCTCCTCACCCCCAAAAAAAAGATTTGGGAAAAATATTAGTTCTCCCTAGCAGGATTTGGCTAGCCATCTACAAATAAGTAGCTTCATTCTGGAAGACAAGGCATCTCCAACAAGCCCAATCCCACTGCCAGAAAAAAACAGTTCAGATAAAACCCAACAGCAAAAACCCAAACAACCAAACTTAAAAATGGGTAAAGGACTTGCACAGACCTTTTCTCCAAAGAAGACACACAAATGACCAACAAGCACACGAAAAGATGCCTAGCATCATCAGTCATTTGGAAAACACAAATCAAAGCCACAATAAGCCATTACTTCACAGCTTTTACAGTGGCTACTGTCCAAAAACCAGGAGATAGCAAGTGTTGGTGGGAAGAGGAGAGACTGGAACCCTTTTGGATTGTTGGGGTGTGTGTGTGTGTGCGTGTGTGTGTAAAATGGTGCAGTTGCTATGGAAACAGCGTAGTACAGAGGCTCCCAAAAATTTAACCATGGAATCATCATGTGATTCGCAATTACACTTCTGCTCAAAGACTCAAAAGAACTGAGAGTGGGGTCTTGAAGAATCATTTGCCAACCCACGTGCACTGGAGCACTATTCAGGTGGAAACAACCCTCTGGCTGGATACTGCACTAGGTAAGTCAGGCTTCAGAGGTAGGCAAAACAGGAAAGAGAAAATAAACAACAAACAAGCAGGCAAAGAAAGCAGATAGTGATAAATGCTAGTGATATTGACAACAGTTAGAGCACTGAGAAAAGAAAGAGCTTTTGTGGCTGAAACAGTAGGGCACATTTGCCATTTTAAGGTAGGTTGTTCAAGACAGGGTCTCCGAACAGGGACAATGAGTGAATGATGATATGAAACCAGCCACGAGAACACACGTCCATGCAGATAGAAATGCAAGTAAGGGCTGAGGTATGAACTAGCCTGGAGGGTTTGAGAAACAGCAAGGAATACTATTTGTCTAGACTGTGGATGAAAAAAAGAGAGAGAGAGAGAGAGAGAGAGAGAGAACTGGGTGATGGGGATGCAGTGAGAGAGTGGGATCCAACCATGCCGACCTCTTAGGGCTGATGTGAGGAATTTGTCCTAAGCCGGACAGAAAGGTATGGAGTCTCTTCAGCAGAACAGCAGTATGGCCTGATTTACCTTAGAAAGACTCCCAAGGCCACTGGACACTCAGGAAACACTTGCCCTGAGGTTCCCAAAGTAAAGCCCAGAGACATCTTGGTTTGGATCCAGTGCTTTCATTTCAAAGCCTCTAGACAAAGCATGTGTTCCTCAGTGTCTCCAGGCCTCACCTCCCTACTTCCTACTGGCCCAGTTTACATACTTAACACCACGTGCCTGGCCACTTCACAGCCCCTGAAGGCATTGGAATTCACCACTCTCCATCTCATCCAATTCTCCTAGTGGTGCAGAATAAGAAACTGAGGCCCAAGTAGTCAGAGACTTGTTCAAAATAATAGCGAAAAGTCTCCAAGGCAGACTCTTCACCTTCCAGCAGGTGTCTTAGTGCCCTGCCCTGTCCACAGCTCTCCTTTGTTGGGAACTAAGCACTTACCCAGGTCTACAGGAAAAAAACAGCCATGTGGTTATTAAACTATAGCTATCACATCGAATGTGCTCTGATCTTAATCGGCATCCAGCAGCTATTTTATAATGTTCTCACTTTTTTATTTCCTATGCCTCTTTCCACAAGGTCAGGTCCCATGTCAGTCATCCTAACGGCTAGACACTTCACCATTGCCTATTCCTGCGCACTTAGATTACACCCATCCCCCGCCCCCCACCCCCAACTATAAACAGCAGCGGAAGCCTGTATGGTTCATACACAGTCCTTTTCATGTATTTCCTTCCAGAGATTAAAGGTTACAGCATTAATATTTTCAGAGAGATTAATGGTTAAATGAGATTTTTTTTTTCTGACTAGCACAGTGTCCTTGAAGGCACGGCCAAACTGCAGCGACTTGGGGGAGACTCCATAAAGGGCAGCACCCTTCACCAACTGCAGTCTCGGACTCCCCTGTTTGTATCCGCAGGCCAAACCAGCACTCACTTCATAGGGTGGGGCAGGTTAACTGAGACCATTCGTGTTAAGCACTTGCTGGGCCTATCATCTGCTAGCGCTCAGTTAAAAGAGCCCAATGTCCAGGGTGCGAGGCCGCGGGACCCGTGCTGCCAAGTTACAATCAGAAGGAACCTCTCCGCCCTGCAGTCCCTCCCAAGTCTCCAGGTCCCCGGCCGGCGGGACACTCACCCTCCGACCTGCGCACGCCGAGGTCAGCGGCGGACACCCTCGCAGCTATGCCTCGGGGAGGGGCAGTTTACCGTGACCCTTCCCCGCGACTCCGCCCAGTTCCCGGCAGTCGGCAGCGCACGCTCAGACCTTCGCTGGGCGGAGCGTCCGCGGCTGCGCTCCGGGACCCGGGCCTCTCCCCGCCCCGCGCCTCTCCCCGCCCCGCCCACACAGCGCCCGCGGCCGCCTCCAGGCGCGTGACCGCCCACGCCTGGCGCTAGGCCCCGCCCTTGCGGCTCGCTCCGCCCCTGCCCAGGCTCCGCCCTGTTCCCTGCATGCTTCTTGTTACTGGGCAGGACCAGTGTCGGCTGCGCGCAGACTGAGACTGGGCTGGAAAGCTATGCTGGGACATGGGTGGAAGCGCCCCCACCCACCCACCCATGGCACGTGGGTGTTAAGAAATGACGGCTCGCAGAATAATACTTAGCAATGAAAATGAATGAGCTATGGTTTCGCCCAACATCCTGCTTAAATCTTCAGGAAATCACACTGAGTGAAAAAGATACCAAAATACCCAAAGGTTATGCACACTTCTTTTTCTATTAAAAAAAAAAAATGAGACGGGATTGGGGTTTGAATTCAGGGCCTCAGGCTTGCCAGGCAGGCACTTTACCATTGAGCCACCACCCATCCCACCTCACCCCGCCCCACCCCTGGCTCTTTTTGCTTTTAGTTATTTTTCGAATATGATCTCACGTTTTTGCCTGAGCCAGCTTGGACCCCAAGCTGTCATCCTCCAAGCTGGGATGACAGGCACACACCAACAAGCCCAGCTCCTTTGTTGAGATGGGGGAGAGGAGGATTTTGCTAACTATTTGCCTGGGCTGGTCTCTAATTGAGATCTTTCCCATCTCCACCATCTCCTGCGTATTTGGATTACAGGCATAAACCTATGATTGCATTCCTTGAATTTCTTTCTTTCTTTTCTTTCTTTTTGGCGGTACTGGGGTTTGAACTCAGGGACTCATGCTTGCTAAGCAGGCGCTCTACCACTTGAGCCGCTCCGCCAGCAGAGATAAAGTTTTTCTTTCTTTCTTTCTTTCCTTCCTTCCTTCTTTCCTTCTTTCTTTCATGGGAGTAGGGTTTGAACTCAGGACTTCTCACTTGCAAAGCAGGCACTCTTACCGCTTGAGCCACACGTCCATTTAATTCCATTTCAGGAAAAAATGAATTATGAAAGAAACATATTGGTGGATCAGGCTAGTGGAATGGGAAAGGGAAGTGGCTGTGACTGTAAAAACAATCCTTGTGTTAATGGAAATGTTCTTTGCCTAACTATATCAATTCAATCTACTGGTTGTAATATGGTACAGTAGTTTTGCTAGATGTTACCACTGGGGAAACTGGAAAAAGGGCATATGGGCCAAAATATTAAAAGTTTAATTAAAACAAAGATTCATGGCCAAGGACATCCCCTAGAAGGTGGAAAGTCTTGGAACCAGAGCCTCTGGTTGGCGGAAGTGAGGAGTTTGGGCTAATTGTTCTTTCCCCAGTCCTTTCTGGTTTGTACTACCTTACTTGGCAACTCACCTGTCACTGTGACTTCCCCATGATCCCTCCCCAAGCTCTTTGCCTTGATTTTTGGTGTCCTGGGATTCAACCATAGAGCAGAAGGAAGATTTTGCTGTGTTCATAAGGTTCCTAATGAAAATAACAGAAGCTGATTGTGCACCATGCTGGAACTTTCCCTGCTTAAAATTATGGTTTGAGTTTTTGTCCGTGTGTGCTGGCTTTTTTCTCAATGGTACCTTACCATCTGAAGGTTCATCGTTGTAACTGAGCTGTCCTCTGCTGTCTTCCTCATTCTCAGAGGTGGGGATATGGCCTCTATCAGAGGAGCCCGCATACCCATGAGTTGCTCCCACCTCCAGCAGGAAACAGGGTCACCTTGTCTTGAGAGCCCAGATCCTGGAGGGTGTTCATTGTGAAACAGAACAGCAGGGGCAGGGAGCCTGCTTGATCGGGCATGAGTGAGGTACAACACCACTACCTTGTGGCAGCAATCAGACATCACAGGCGTGGATTGCCCAGCCTGCTCTCTGCTTGGGACTGGGAGCTGGACTGCTTTCCTAACCTGGGTATTTTGAATGGATTAAGTTGAATGGTGCTTGATTCTAGAATAGCTAGCACATGCTCAAAACAGAAATAACAGAACTTCCTGGCAATGTGGTGTTCGAATTGCTGCAAATGAGTAAGTTATGACCACATTTGCATGCTGAATTTGAAGATCATTCTATCAAAACCAGAGAAATAGAATTAGCAGTGTGAACAATTGTCACCTTCAGGGATTCCAGATTCTCACGTTTCATTTTACCTTTAGCTTTGAAGGAATGCAAGAATAGAATTAGGTACAGGAAACAGACAACCAGTTATACATTTCCACTTCTCACCTCCTCATATTTTATTTCAGAATAAAACAGAATATCATGGGGCTACCTTAAGGCTGACCAAGCTAGCTAAGCTATCTCCTAAAGAGGGAGTTGCTTTTAGTTGTATTTAATGATATATGTATGTGTATATGTATTTGTGTTTCTATACATGTAATATATATATATATACATATATATATATGGATGTGTGTATATGTATTTATATCTATCTTTATGTATGTTAGGCCTTTTTAAAAAAGAGGGATTTTTTAAAAAATTCATATGTACATACAATGTTTGGGTCATTTCTCTGCCCTTCCCCCGGCCCCCTCCCTTAGCCACTCCACCATCTCCATCTCCCCTGCTACCCCCTAGCTTCCAAGCAGAAACTATTTTGCCCTTATGTCTACTTTTGTTGAAGAGAGAGTGTAAGCAATAATAGGATGGACCAAGGATTTTTGCTAGTTGAGATAAGGATAGCTGTACAGGGAGTTGACTCACATTGCTTTCCTGTACCTGTGTGTTACCTTCTAAATTAATTCTTCTTAAACTAATCTTTTCTCTAGTTCCTGGTCCCCTTCTCCTATTGGCCTCTGTTACTTTAAAGTATCTGCATTAGTTTCTCTGTGTTGAGGGCAACAAATGCTATCTAGTTTTTGGGTGTCCTACCTGTCCTCCTACCTCCCTTGTGTACTCTCGCTTTATCATGTGATCAAAGTCCAATCCCCTTGTTGTGTTTGCCCTTGACCTAATGTCCACATATGAGGGAGAACATACGATTTTTGGTTTTTTAGGCAAAGTTAACCTCACTCAGAATAATGTTCTCCAGTTCCATCCATTTACCAGCGAATGATAATATTTCATTCTTCATGGCTGCATAAAATTCCATTGTATATAGATACCACATTTTCTTAATCCATTCATCAGTAGTGGGGCATCTTGGTTGTTTCCATAACTTGGCTATTGTGAATAGTGCTGCAATAAACATGGGTGTGCAGGTGCCTCTGGAGTAACCTGTGTCACAGTCTTTTGGGTATATCCCCAAGAGTGGTATTGCTGGATCAAATGGTAGATCAATGTTTAGCTTTTTAAGGAGCCTTCAAATTTTTTTTCCAGAGTTGTTGTACTAGTTTATATTCTCACCAGCAGTGTAAGAGGGTTCCTTTTCCCCCGTATCCTCCCCAACACCTGTTGTTAGTGGTGTTTCTAATGATGGCTATTCTAACAGGGGAGAGGTGGAATCTTAGCGTGGTTTTAATTTGCATTTCCTTTATTGCTAGGGATGGTGAGCAATTTTTCATGTGTTTTTTGGCCATTTGAATTTATTCTTTTGAGAAAGTTCTGTTTAGCTCACTTGCCCATTTCTTTATTGGTTCATTAGTTTTGGGAGAATTTAGTTTTTTAAGTTCCCTATATATTCTGGTTATATATATTCAGTCCTTTGATGTGTAGCTGGCAAATATTTTTGCCCACTCTGTGGGTTGTCTCTTCAGTTTAGAGACCACTTCTTTTGTTGACCAGAAGCTTTTTACTTTTATGAAGTCCCATTTATCTATGCTATCTCTTAGTTGCTGAGCTGCTGGGGTTCATTGAGAAAGTTTCCTATACTATTAATTCCAGAGTATTTCTACTTTTTATCAACTTTAGAGTTTGGGTCTGATATTAAGATCCTTGATCCATTTTGAGTTAATATTGGTATAGGGTGATAACATGGATTAGTTTCAGTTTTTTGCAGACTGCTAACAGTTTTCCAGCAGTTTTGTTGAAGAGGCTGCTTTTCTCCATCATATTTTTAGTCTTTGTCAAAGATAAGTTGGTTATAGTTGTGTGGCTTCATATCTGGGTCCTCTATTCTGTTCCACTGGTCTTCATGTCTGTTTTTTGCCAGTACCATGCTGTTTTTATTGTTATTGCTTTGTAATATAGTTTGAAGTCAGGTATTGTGATACCTCCAGCATTGTTCTTTTGACTGAGTATTGCCTTGGCTATTCGTGGCCTCTTGTGTTTCCATATAATTTCAGGTAGATTTTTCAATCTCTTTGATGAATGTCATTGGGATTTTGATGGGAATTGCATTAAACATGTAGATTACTTTTGGGAGTATAGACATTTTTACTATGTTGATTCTACCAATCCATGAGCATGGGAGATCTCTCCACTTTCTATAGTCTTCCTCAATCTCTTTCTTCAGAAGTCTATAGTTTTCCTTGTAGAGGTCTTTCACATCTTTTGTTAGGTTTACACCTAGATATTTGATTTTTTTGAGGCTATTGTAAATGGAATTGTTTTCATATATTCTTTTTCAGTTTGTTCATTATTAGTGTATAGAAATGCTAATGATTTTTCTATGTTGATTTTATATCCTGCTACCTTGCTATAGCTGTTGATGGTGTCTAGTAGATTTTGAGTAGAGTTTTTTGGGTCTTTAAGGTTATAGGATCATATTGTCTGCACATAGGGATATTTTGACAGTTTCTTTACCTATTTGTATTCCTTTCTTCCTTCTTTTTACCTAATTTCTCTGGCTAGGAATTCCAGTACTATGTTGAATAGGAGAGGAGTGGAGATAGTGGGCATCCTTGT